GGGGTGCGGAGTAGGAGGTCGGGGTGCGGAGTAGGAGGTCGGGGTGCGGAGTAGGAGGTCACGGTGTGGAGTAGGAGGCCGGGGTGCGGAGCTGAATGGGCTTGACCTGCTCCCTGCTCTTCACCTAGCGTGTGTGTCAGCTTCAGAGCCTCGCTGTTCTTGCCTGTAATTGGGGTGTAGTCTCCCAGCAGCTGACAGGTGGCCCTGCGGCCCAGGCGAGGCAGGGAAAGGAGATGGCCCCGCCCTCTAGCAGGCAGTGGTAGCTCTGTTATTAGCCACCCGCCCCTTTACCAGATGGGGAAACAGCCTGGTGCAGGGTCACACGGCAGACCGCAGAGGCTGCCCCGGTTTCTGGACTTCCAGACCAGAGCCTGGAAGGCTGGGCGACGAGGGCTCAGATCTGCTGCCTCACTTCTCTGTGCCCAGAGGGTGGATGCCACAGATGCCTGAAGGGTCCCACGAGGGCCCCAGCAGGCCGTGCACGTCTGAGCCATTGCAACATGGCAAGCCCTCGTCCCTCGGAAGCCTGAGAAATGGAGCCTCTGGTAGCTCTGGCATCCCAGCAGTTGAGCCATTAAGACTCTCCCAGGCTGGGACCAGCAGATGGTGTAATAGTTACGTCATTGGGTTCCCACACAGCTGACGGTGGTTCGCGTCCCAGACCCAGTGGCTTAAAACTCACGCTGGGTGTGTGCGCCTAAAATCCGGAGAGAAGGGATTGTGGCATGGCCACCCTCTGTTGGGGTTGATTTCTCACTTTCTCCCTCTCTGCCTCTCCAGGCGAGTACACATGCCCTATAGCAAAAATTGCTCTCTAAAAAGAAATAAATAAATAGATTCTCCCAGGCTCGGTGCTCGAGCCCAGCCTCCAGCTTGCCCTGGCCATGTGGGCCTCTCTGCCCTGGTTTTCTGTCCGGAGTGCTGGCACTGTGGAGCAGGCCCTAGTCTGGTGACCTTGGGCTCGCCTCCTCATCCCGGCCAGGCTTCCCTCAGCCTGCAGGGTCGGTCGTTCATCTCAAGGGCACTTCTGGCCTGGACAGACTGTGGCTACCCCCTCCCTGTCTGCCTGAGAGACAGGGCTGCCCAGGAAATGGAGGTGGAGGAGCTGGAAACACAAAGGGAGGCACCTGAGCAGGGATTATTATTATTCAAACAGAGCCAGGGGCCGAGGAAGACTGGAGCCCCCAGTTCAGGGAGGGGGAGTTTCGTGGGAAGGGAGAGGTGGGTTTCGATGGGGATTTTCTCACCGCCTCTTAAGCCCCCAGGCTTGGGACTTCTTCAGCTGCGAGCTGGGTGGGGGCTGGAGCTGGCTGGGGAGAGGTGTGTCCGGCATGCACCTGGGCCTGGCCCCCGCCCCCTTTCCAAGGGCACTGTCCCAAAGCACGGGACCGAGGGGCTGGCAGGACCCCTTGGGGGGTGGGCAGGTGGCCTTCCCAGGGCTTGCCCAGCTGGGACTGGCCACCTCCAGTCAGTGGGGGCTTTGGGTTGAGAGTCCCAGCTACCCCTGTCACAGCATGTCACACATGCCAGGCAGCATCACGGCACACCCTCGCATTGTGGTGCTGATTTTGGCACCCCAGTTTTGCCATAAAGGAACCCAGGTTAAAGGGCTTGTGCGAAGCCACGGCCAGTGGAGCCCAGTCCCACCCTGGGTCTGGTGGCCCCACGTCCAGGTACATTTGGTTGTGCCTGACAACTCCCTGGAGACTGTCAGCAAGTTATGTCCCTGCTCAGAGCTTCCACATTCTAGGCTGCAAACAGGGGTGACAAAGTGGTTCTCTCACTGTGCAGGGGGAGGAGAAAACCCCTCTCCTCGAGGGTCCAGCTATTGCCAGAGCTGGTGGCTAGGGGTGGGCAGGGGCTGCATCCTGCCTTCTCTGTCCCTCCCTGGGCCAGCAGGAAAGAGGGCTCTCAAAGCTGAGGAGGATTTGGCCTTTCTCTGCCCTTGTGCTCAGAGCTGTAGAAAAACCAGGCTCTGGATGTTAAGCCCATGGCGGACCTTTGGTGTCCCTCCCAGGGCCTCAGTCCACAGGGCTGCCCTGGGAAGTCTGCTCAGTGGTGAAGAGCCTGGGCTTTGAGTCTGGGTTCAAACCCCAGCGCTACCACACACTGCCTGTGCCACCTTAGGAGGGTTGCCCCACCTCTCTGAGCATCTGAGCAGTCTCCCCAGCTATAAAAGAGGGGCATCGCGTCCTCTTTCCAGGGCCCTGTGAGGCTTAGTGTACTCCCCAGGTGCACAGAAGGCTCGGGAGACGGGTGTCGCGGGATGACCCAGCTGGCTCCTGGGCAGGCCACTCACCAGCTCCCTCCGTCCCCAGGTGTTCATCGGTGTCAACTGCCTAAGTACGGACTTCTCCTCGCAGAAGGGGGTGAAGGGCGTCCCCCTGAACCTGCAGATCGACACCTACGACTGTGGGTCGGGCGCTGAGCGCCTGGTGCACCGCGCCGTCTGCCAGATCAAGATCTTCTGTGACAAGGTGGCTGCGGGGCACACCCCAACTGGGCTGGGAGGGAGGGGCAGGCCCCGTGTGCTGTCCCCCCTCGCCCTTGCCTGACTTTGTCCACACGCGTCTTCTGCGTTCTCCGTGCATCCTCCGTCTCTGAGTCTCTCTCTAGGGTCTCTCTACATCCTGCTCCGTGTCTCTTCTCACTTTTTCCTCTGCCCATCTCTTTCACCACGTCTTTTCTTTATGTTTTGCCCATGGGGAAGGCATCTCCCCACTCCGCACATTGGGCATGGCCATGCCGCATCCCTCCCGTTCCGTTTCTCCAGCCTGCCGGGATGTGGGGCATGCGTGTTTTTCAAGCCCCCTGGGCTAGAGTTCAGACCCGCAGTCGGCCTTGTGGGATCTGGCTGCCTTACGCTGGAGCCAGCCCGCTGCGTTCCTAGTTTTCCCCTCCGCAGCTCTCTGTCTTGCCTAGCTCTTTCTCTGTCTTTCTGTCTCTCCCACCCACCGATTACTGTCCTCGGGCAGGCTGGCGTAGACCCGCTGACCTTCCCTTTCTTGGTCTTGCCCTGGGAGAAAAGCAGGCCAGAAGCCTGCTGAGGGGTGAAGCAGCAGCTGCAGAGCCCTGGGTGACCCCTGCCCTCCCCCCTGCAGGGAGCTGAGAGGAAGATGCGGGATGATGAGAGGAAGCAGTTCCGGAGGAAGGTCAAGTGCCCCGATTCCAGCAACAGTGGTGAGTGCGAGAGGCCGGCCGAGGGCGTGGGGCCTGAGGGGGATCCTAGCTACAGTGTACAGTGGCCTCCTTTCCCCGCAGGCATCAAGGGCTGCCTCCTGTCAGGCTTCAGGGGCAACGAGACCACCTACCTTCGGCCCGAGGCTGACCTGGAGACACCCCCGGTGCTGTTCATCCCCAACGTGCACTTCTGCAGCCTGCAGCGCCCGGGAGGGGTGAGCCTTGGCGGGCCGGCGGTGGGGGGGCGCTGCCGTAGCAAGACCTCGGGGAGCACCCCACGCAGCCAGTGCGGCCGCCGTAGATGGCTAGGTCCTGACACTTAGAATATCGAGATGAACCCCTGAGGGGGTCGTCACAAAGTTCACTATTAATGAAAACGATGCATAGATTTCTCTCTTTTTCACCAAAATGAACTTGATTCCATTTTTCCACAAACTTTTTGTAACCCCCTTGCACCTGGAAGCCCCAGGGGAGTAACAGTGTTTGTATGGTCACACACCTTCAGGGACCTAGTCTGTTGGTGCTGAGATGTTAGCGAGGACCAGCCTCACGGCACACCTGTTACGCGGCGCAGAGGCAGCCTGATCGCAGCGGCTCTTGGACGAGCTGTGCCCACCCCCGTTCCTAGACAGGCCGCGAGTCAGTGCAGGGCAGGCCCCAGAGCCTCCACAGCGTCTGGAGCAACTGTCCGACCGCTTCCTTACCCCGAGGGTGCAGGAGGTGCAGAAACGACCCAGCTAGATGTGTTTGCACATTGACCGAGGACCATAAGGTGGGGTGCAGAGCCCAAACTAGCGGCCGCTGGCACGGGTGTCCAGGGCTCCGTGTCTGCTGTCTTTGGCCGCCTGGCCTGCCAACAGCACCCGGCAGCTGCACTGAGCCCTGCTCTGTCCCCAGCCAGAGGCCCTGGGCAGGGAGGTGACTGCTCAGGACTGAGGCAGCCATGGCCAGGTGGATGGCTCTTCTGTGTGGGAAGAGGGAGAGAGCAGGGCTGGAAGCCCAGGGCATCAGAGCGATGTTGGGCCTGAGTTTGAGCCCCGCCCGGCATCACTTCAGGGCTCCCCACACTGGTCTCCACTGCCTCCTCACAGGGTGGGCGAGCACCGTACCGAAGGCACAGCACCAGGTGCCCGGCAGTGTGCGAGGACGGGCTCTGCCCCAGCCCATTGCCTTGCCCAGCCCCTGAGCCAGGGCTCGGCGAGAGGCACGCGCTACTGCACCGGCCTCTCTTTAGCACCTCCCGTGTGGTCCAGTGTGGGCCGACTGGCTCCTTCAGCTCCAGAGGCGGCTCCCTGGAAGAACTTATCTGAGCAGAAGGGTCTTGAAAGGCATTGGAGCGGCACCCCCACCCCATCCCACCCTAGAATGTCCCCCTAGAAAACCTCCAGCTGCTGAGGGCTGCCCACACTCCTGGTGTGATGGAAACATCTCTCTCTCCTCCTTGCAGGCTGTCCCCGCAGCCGGACACGGCAGCTCCAGCAGGTAAGAAAGCAGCAGGGGGCTTCCTCCCACCTGGGCTCCTTTACCGCGTGCTCTGTGGCCCCCAGTCCGCCTCTCCTCTGGCTGCCCCCAAGCCAGGGCCTGGGCCAGGGGAGAAAGCGCGAGAATCCCTCCCCAACCCCCAAGCTGGAGTCATGCTCCTTTCTCGCTGAAACTGCCTGGGTTTTTATGGCTTCGTTTTATGTGAAAAGTTGGCGAATCTCTGGCGAGACACCTGCTTGTAAAAGGGAAAGAAAAAGCCTCTGAGGCGGTGGTGCAGATGCAGAGGAGGGGCACTATGCCAGAGGACTGAGGGGACCCGCGAGAGGCTGGCGGACAGGCGGCAGTGGAGGCCGATCCT